TTTTTTTTTAAACCGATCAAACTTAATCTAGAAAATACATGACAATATTTATAAGTTTATAATCAGTGTATTTATAATTTTATATGACGCCCTGTACGTTAACGTACGTCAGAACGTGAGTTATATACATTAATAATATTCAATGACCTGATCGTAACAGGCGGATCGAAGTCGAAGTTGCTTTTATATACATAAAACGGGTATATTATGAAGTTTGTGACACGTTGGGTTACACTTCCCGGAAATATCGTAACCAGTCGAAGTGACAGACTGATATTTTGCATCTTTTGTAAAGTGAAATATAATGCAACGAAGAACAATTCTTCTGTTATTATACACATTTATTAATGTCCCTTTATGATAAAATTCAACTGCTCTGTCTGAAATGCCTATTGTTTTAAAACTGAAATAATCTATGCTTCTTATAACTTCTTTTCTTTTATATAAAACCACAGAGATATTAGATAAACATTCATTTATTCGATAATTTAATTGCCTATTTAAAATAAATAATAATAAGTTGCGTAAAAATATGAAAAGACATCTGGAAATTGATTAAAATAATGTTTCATTTGCATGAGCAATGTAATGTAAAAAAAAAAATAATTATTTGCAGCGTTGCTATTTTAATGTTAACTTCAAATAAATAGCGTATCTATTCGTAACCGACTAATATTGTGAAAGATTTGACAAATAAGAAAGTGAGGGAAAGAAGGGTTAGACTTTGAAGGGTGCGAGAGGTAAAATACCATATAGCGAGTCGATGGCATTCGGTATTCTCATCTTTTAGCGCGACAACGTTGCATGTTAAAATGGGAACAGAGCCATTAAATGGATCGACTGTTGCATCCAACACGAGGCAGTTGCTATTGTTTCGTTTAACTGTGTGAATGACACTCTGTAAAAGAGCGACTGGCAATGTACCGTCTAACTAGATGATGCACGCGATTAGCACGGCGCTATTATAACGCGGCGAATCAATTGTCGTATTACTTTCTGTTGGCTAAGGAATTCTAGTTATATCCTTGTTGGCAGGAGAGGACTCGTCCTTTTTATTTTTACATTTTATTCTTAATTTTATACGTTTATATATTTACATTTATACGGTCGAAGCTTTAAGAAAATTATGCGATATGCGAAAATTCTCATCATAGTAAGAATTCTTAAAATAAAATTTATTTTAAAATAAATTGTATTTTAAGAATAAAAATTAATTAAAAATAAAAATTTATTTTAAAAGTAAAATTTATTTTATAAATAGTAATTTATATTTTCTTCCTCTCTTTCCTTCTTTATTTTCTCGATTTTTTTTAAATTTTTTAAACTTGTCAAATAAGAAAAGCTTTTTTTCACTTTCTAAATCAAACTTCAGAAGAACAAGTTTGTGAGTTTATTTCTGCAATTAATAATAGAAATAAAAAAGTTTATCTCTCTCGAGTGATTTGACAATATATACTATAAAATTACGTTCATTGCTTTAATTGCTTTATGCGATTCTCTCATACATTTCTAGTTACCCAAGTTGTTATGTCAACGTGCAACGAAATTATCTCCGTCGTTTCTCTAGTTTTGTGTACTAGAACCGACGCACGATTACGGCATATGCAGAGAACAAATAAAATAGATCGAGCAACGGGAACGACACTGCAGTATATTGTGATGACACATGGTGAATATTGATTCTCGAATTTTCATTGCTATGCTGGAGAGAACCGAGGGAAAAGTGCATTCTCCGTATGTAGGAATAAAGCTTTCGTACGGCTTTCGTATTGCGTATTCTTGTTA